AATAAAGAGTTTGCAAAGAAACCTTTGTTGAAAGATGAAGCAGACAATTTTTGGATCTAACAGTAGCTGCATCATGAACCGTGAGTAAATGATTTCATTATGCTTTGTCTGCAAATAACGGTTTTAAATGGATAATGTAAATGTAAAAACGTACTCGCGTACAATAGCGAGTTGATATTATGTTTCCTATGTAACTGACAAGCCTTAAAGAAATAGCCTTTAAAAATGGATCATTTTAAAATGAGAGCTGAAAATTATCAATTTTATGCATATTTGTTTTTGTGCAAAATTTTTATTAACATTATAAGTGAATCTCAAGAAACATTAAAATAATAAATTAAAAAATCCATGTCATGACCCCTTTAAACAGAAATGCGGCTGGTTATAAAGTTGCCAAAATTGCTTTAAATCTGATTTAAATGTACATATTCATTTAAATTTAGCTACTTTTCCAGGTAGGTAATCTACTAGTTATGCTTTACTGACTTGAGTCTTGGTATCCTTGCACATCTCATGCAAAAGATATTGGGTTTATGGGCTAGATGGTCATTGCAAAGACAATACTTAAAATATATGTATTTTGATGTTTATTCCACTGCAATCCAGTGCCCCACAGACTTTCATTGTTAGTGTAATTACTGTAAAGAATTTTTGTTAAATTTAATAACCTGGGGGATGAGTTGAAATTTGTTAAAATAAGCATAACCCAGCGTAACATTCCTGTCACATCTCATCTAGACCATATAATAGTCTACCCATAACTTTCTATGATCTCAAAGTAACTGAGTAACTCCCCCAGGTCACTAGTGGAACAGTATTGAGGGATTTCAGCACAGTGCACTGTACCATTGCAGATGAGGAGCGTGAGGAGTGAGAGGTGTGGTGGCGGCCGCCCTCCATCCCGCCGTGAATCAGGTAGGCACTGCCGCTGGAAATGATCTGACTGCCGCCCACATCCATGGCGATTCCCACCATGCTGTGGGCAGGCACTCCACCAGCAGACGAGACAACAGTGGTAACCTGAGTTCCCCCCGCTTGAGAGTCGAAATAGTTGCTTCCGCTGCCCTGTCCATACAGCTGGGACTCAGGGTTGTATGAGTAGGCAGTACGACTGAATAAACGGAGAATGACAGTAATGATTAGGGTTTAATGTAACTATTCAACATCAAATTTTCAACAGTCTTTAAAGTCCCCCTGTGGTGAAAATCTAACTTTGAATGTTTATATGTCTATGTGGTGTTTTTAGCATGGTCTTTAAAGGGATAATCCACCGTTTTTTCATTTTAAACTATGTTCTTCTCTTAACTAAGACGAGTTGATACATACCTCTCTCATCTCAGTGCGTGCACTCAATCGCTCTGGCGCGCGAGACACTTTGATAGCACTTAACTTAGCCCAGTTCATTCAATATGGGCCAAGCAGAGAAGCGACCAAACACCTCCACGGTTTCCCTATTTTAATACAGTTACCCGAGTAGTGTAACTCGACCAAGAATGGTGTCACAAAATAAAACGTAGCACTTTTCGAAGCGTGTAAGGTGTATAACTATAATGTATGGTGGAATACCACAGCAAGCGATTGGGAGCACTTTGACTCGGCGCATATCTATCTATGGACTCGGCGCAGTAATATCAACACTCTGGGGAGGGAGAGGACTTTTCACGAGTGATGATATTACTACGCCGAGTCGAAGTGTTCCCAAGCACTTGCTGTGGTATTCCACCATACATTATAGTTATCCACATTTTAAGGGATAAAATTATTGACTACAGGGGGACATTAAAAGAAGTTTTGATCTGAATCTGGACTCCATCTACTGTGTGTCTGAATGAGCATCTTTAATGACCAATTAACGGGGACAAATTTTAATATTCTTTAGCTATTTAACTACACAATGGACATGAACATACAGAAAAACAGACTTAAAGCTGCTAGGGTTTTCAATATTGATATGAAAATTTTAGATATTAAAACACATTGCATAAAAATGCATGAAGAATAGGGCCTGAAACACTTAAAAAGGCTCCAGAAAAATTGGCAAATTTCCTTTTTTATTATGATCAAGCAGCCATTGAAAGTAATTAATTTGTCTTTCTGACATGAAAAAGGGTCCAATATTATAAATTATGTTATAAATTAAATATTAGTGCCTTACATTTTTTATTGAGTATTACACAAAATTATGAACTGAACACAGGTTTGATTGACAGATTGATAGGTGCTTACATTGTGCCATTGGGGTAGACGGCCTCTGCTCCCTCCACGTACTGCACCTGGGACTGGTACACATGCTGAACCTGTTGAACCTTCAAACAAACACACACAGAGTCAGAGATCAGACTGGAGCGAAATAACCACTACAGGAGTTCTGAGATGTTATAATGTAGATTCTGTAAGGGGAATGGGATGAACAGCTGTATGCAGGCTGCAGGCAGTAGGGGGCAGTGAGCACAAAGCTTCGCCTCAACAATCAGAGACGCCCTGTCGAACTAGGAAACTACTTATTAACATATTAGTCGCAACAACCCAAGCGTGACGTGTGAAAAGTAAAGCATGCCTGCGTTTCGGGGTTCTGACAGTATACTGGGAGAGAAAGAGCTTAATGGAAAGACAGTGACAGTCACAAGAGAGTGTAAAAGATATGTAGAGAGGCAAAAGATAAGCCAGAGCATCGTGGGTCCTCAGGATGTGCAGTGAGCGTGCAGGGTTTGACTGTACTGTGTATGTGTGTGTGTGTGTGTGTGTGTGTACCTGCTGAGGGACCTGTTGCACTCTAGGCACTGGCAACTGCTGCACCTGAGCTCCCTTCTGGGAAGAGCCGGTGGCCTGAACTAACACACGCTGCAGGTGAGGGACACACACACACACAAATGTAAAAATTAGACCCTTTTCTGTTTGAAAAGTGAGGTGCGGAATTGTCCAGATGTATGAATGCAATTTTTCAAGTTTAAATTCGTCATGAAACGGATGTTGCGATAGTCTTTTCTTCCCTATTGTGACGTACTTCTTGAATGAGACAAAAAAAAATCTAAGAGGGGACTTGATTTTCTCCACTGGGAATTGATTGGATCATAGGATCCTTGTTATTTGCTATTGCTGTGATATTATGTGAGTGACAGGTTCTCATTAAACACATCATCAGAGAAAAGAAAAGATGTCGGTCCAAGGAGGACAGGAAGTTACTTTTATTTTTAACTAAACTAAGCCATTTTCGTGACAATGCAACTGTGGCATTTCCATAATTTCTGGCTCAACAAATGGTGTGAGGTTGGGTTGGGACTACCTGTTTGTCTAAATAATGGAAGATGGGTGGAAGGGCAATTTGTTAAACCAAAATGCACACATTTATAAAAAAATAAATAAATAAATAAAAAACACAGCAAAAGAACTCAGGATCCTGAGAAAGATCAGTGGAAAGTTTCGTTTAGTGTCGAAAGTGTCTTCTGCTAGCACCACAAAAGTTACGTACAGAAAGTCTATATTTCATTCATTGCTGTTTTTCATCAAATCCTCTACAGCTGTCCAGGGAAATGTGATGCGCTACTCAAAATATTAACCGAAATCATAAAAAACTGGTTTCTTTGGATGTGAGGTTGATCCAAAGCCAACATCTCCCACAGCAGCACCACGCAAAGTCGCTGCTAATCATTTAAAGTGGCTCTGACAGATGAAGGGTGTGGGTGAGGAGAAATCTTTCATCGCTTCAGATGGATCCAGTGCACATTGAAAAGCATCTTTAGAGAGATTCAGAACGATGACAAGAGCGAAAGCAGCTCAGATCTCAGATCTAAACTGCTTGTGTGGGAGGAGTTTCCTTAATTATTATTATTATGCTACTTTTGTGCATCAGTGCTGAGCCTGCTTACCTGTTGCGAGGCGGGAACGGGCTGAACCACCGGCGCCTGGGCTGAAGTGGACGTCCGCAGCGCCACAGTGGACGCCGACTCTGAGCTGCCCTCTGACCGCTGCATGGTTTCTCCTGGTAGATAGTAACCATGTAGTATTAGTATATGTGAATATTAATAATTAATATTGTAAGAATTCACTCATGATAATGTTTAAACATGCCAACAATGAATAATTGAATGTTTTTATTTGAAAAAGTAGATTAGCATTAGAAGGTATCACAAATCAGTAGGTATAACAAACTCAGTACAAGCTAAGAGTATAATTTCACAAAGCACCAATAACCAATGCAGATGACTGAGAAAAGAGTAAAAGGTGACAATATATCACTGTTTATGCTTACACACTAAGCATACTGTCAAGTTATCATGACTAAAATGTCATCAGGTCCCTGCTGACTTTGCCACATCTAAAGAAACAATGCAATCAAACTAAGCCCCAACAGGTTGCGAGAGTGGATAAGAGAGGCCCACTGAAAAACAACTCTGCGCATGTGCCAGGAAAAGTGGGACACAAAGCGGCTTTCACACCATCTTCTCCGAAAGGACCAGGAGCTAAACCTAGCCAAGTCAGGCTGAGTCACCCGCATCCCCAGCAGGCCGCTCACCTCTGAACTCTATTATGGAGGAAAGAACAAAGGAGACATTAACAATCCCATCACAACCGCAGCACGGTTCGGTCGAAGGGGAATTGAGTTAGAAGAATGGAGTTTGTGTCGTCAAGATCCCGATGCAACTCTCCAAACTCGTATGGGCGCACACAACAACGGGAAAGAGAAGAAGAGAGTGTCAAATAGCGACCAGACAGCCTCCCACGGAAAAAAAGATGGAATAGGAGGTGAGAGCAGGGGGACTTTGAAAAAAGTGGAGGGGCAGAAAAAACCCTCCCCCCATCCCCCCCCAACAAAAAGAAGGTAAAAAACTAAAATGGCAATGAGGCTGGTCCCCCCCCCCACCAGGACACTGATGATCTCCAGTGGTTGTTTGGAATGAGAGTCCGTCTCTAGGGGCTCCAATAATACAGCTGATATGAGGAAATTCCTCAATGCTTTGTAAACGTTTGTCGGTTGCTATGGTGAGGGAACCATGGCAACCATCCCTAACTCTACCACCCCCCTTCCCCTTGTGCTATTCTTTTTTAAGCTCACACACACAGGAACTTTGGACTGCTGGAGAGACTGACAGACTCCAAGACAGGGAACAGGTTACAGGGGGGCAACCGATCTCTGTACATCTAAATAAGCTCTTAACCAATCCGAAGGTGCATTTATCATCCCCACCAGTGTGCTCAACAGGTCCCAGAACTGCGTTTATGACGTGTCCCTGCATTGATCCTGACCGACACGCAGTAGCGGAGGTTGATGTGAGAGTTTCAAGATACCCCTTGACTGACAGTTTGTTGTTCAAGTTAAAAATGGAGGAAAAGGCAAGCAATAAGCTTGATTTCTGAAGGAAAAAATGGATGCTAATTACAGGCACTTAAAGTTTTCCTCTGGGAGTAGAGAATGAAGAATAAAAGCTAATTGTGTTTCCTGACATTAGTAAAATAGAAGTAGTGAATTCTCAAGTGTGAAGCTCTATTCAAAGGTAAATTAATTAGAGAACTTTCATCATTTTCAGAAAATAAATGAATTGTATTGAAGACAACGGATGATTCTGTTCAGTAAAAAAAGTATATACACTGCAAATATTTAGTTTAAAAAAAGTTTTCAAGATGAAGAAATTCGGAAATTCAAATTCAGTTTTATAATAGCTAGGTAACGCTGCCTTTACTTCGAATTAATGGATGGCGGCGGACTTTTGTGCTGCGTATGATGATCACGAATGAAATCTGAACTAGGAAGATTTAAAAAAAAAAATTAAAAAAACATTTCTGGAATCAATGATAAATACATGTCTGACCGTTGGAATGAAAAATAAAAAAAACGAGAAAAATCGCATTCATGATGATTTATGGTGATTTTATTTCCGTTAGACTTTTGTCTACATTGACGCTGATGCATTAAAGTGGAGGAGCTCCCCTGTTCCAAGATGGCGGCTATATTGACGCATTCGATCTAATGAACTGCCGTAGCCAAGGCGACTTCTAGTCTATATATCTATGCCTGCCTACGTGTAGAAATCGAATATTAGGCTGTTTATTTATTGTTTTACCTCAGAAGGAAAAATCAAGCTGAAATCTTGTTTTTCGTTTTGTGGAAAAAATAAAAAGACGAAAAAGGAAGCGTTTTCTCATTTTTCTACTTTCAATATCAAATCAAAAAACAACTGAACGAATGATACACGGATTTAAAACTGCCTTTATGTGAGGTAATTTTATTTATATATGAGCACTAAATGTTAAATAAATTTGATTAATTAATTACAAAAACTTTCCCTTTTGGTTTTTGGCTAAATTAAAACTTTCAATTTCAATGCATCACTAATTTCCATGACTTTTAATTTGACAGAGAGGATGATTCAGTGTTGAAATCAGTTGGCTCAGATGTGTCAATTTCAAAAGGAATTCAAATAGATTCAAACATGTGTCAAGCAGGAACTATGACAACTCTTATCAGTAGCTAAAGGCATAATCAAATTAGCTGAAATATTGAAATCAACAAAAACTCAAGGAGTGGTGGCTGGTAGAATTTTATGAATGACGTTGATTCCAGTTCTGTGGAAATCTGTGAATTTGCGGGCCCAGATTATCTGTGGGTGTAATCACCCAGTCATCACCAAGTTGGAAGTCTTCCAGTTTGTTTACATCAGTTAGAAGCATGTACATGGTCACAGTCATGCTTTCCAAGTCCAACTGAACTTGCTGGATCAGTCAACCGGAGTTATTTGGTTCAAATCCCACAGACTTTGTCTAACGCTCACCTGAACCAGACTCACGGGTCAGAACGTCAACAAGCAACTCTGAGGGTAAATAGTAAGAGTGTGTTTAGATCTTTTAAAAGAAAGGAATTTGCCCGAGGGGTGCTGCATTGGTTATAAATATGTCCTGGGCTGTCCCTGCTGCAGTTATCTTTGGAGCTGATTCCTGCGTACTGCTATTATTCACAGAGAATGGGAGAGATTGCTCGCTTCGGTGAGAAATCAAACATCAGTGTACTGAGCAGCGGTTTGCAACCAGCTTTTTCAAGGTCCAAAATTTGCAATGACTTGCATTGAGCGATTTTTCAAGTAAGATGTTTACATGACATGAGCAAAACTCTTCACTCCCGTTTACATGCAATTTTCATTATTACTCAGATTTTTCTCAACTTACCATAACCACTCATCTAGAAGAGTTTTTTTTTTTCAATTAAACTGAGAAAGAGTAAAGTAGGTAAGTTAAGGCCCTGATATACTTATAGATTAAGTTCTTAGGGGTAAAAATAAGTTTGTGATACCTTTCCTGAAAAATAAGTTTGAAATACTAGCACTGCTGGGAGATGCTTTACATGAAGATGTCCAAATGTGCTGTGCACTTTGTTTGTTAATATAAACAAGTATTTATATAGCCCTTTATACAATGGATTGCTTTAAACCAGGTTTACATTGTTTTTTTAATGAAAAAACAGATTTAATGTTGCTTTCAATTTAAAGTACAACTTTCTACTATAAAGCAGCTCTCCAGTGTGTTCATGTTTTTACTCGGACCTCGACAGACTGAACAGAATAAATGAACCAGAGAACATTTCCACATTCAAGAGTGGAGCCACAGAAGACACCTACAGGTAGCTATTATCTAAATGCCATGGACCAACAGTAGTTCAGCGGCGTTAACCAGCTGGGGCAAATTTTTCTGGAATCTTTGCTTTCGAACTCCCGAATCAAACTACAAATTGATTTTGTGATTGCTCAAAATGACGTCACAGCAGTTCGTTCTTCAATTTCGCTTGAAGTATATTGGAGCCATTAGATGTGCACGTCACTCTTGTCTGAGCTCCAAGAAAAGGTTAAAATCCACACAAATTCCCCACCAGCAGCTATGGGCCGCACAAAGGCAGAAAACAGCAGGAGCCCCCCGGCACTTTGGTGTGAAGAGTGAGAGGGGCCCGTCCCGAATAGGCTTCTGGTTTATTACAGTAGAGCAGAGACTCCCCGCCGCACGATACAAGCGCTCACCTCTGCTCAACACAAACGAGCTATTAAAAGACCACCACAACATTGTGGCCATTCCCTTTCATTAACCTGAGTGCGAAGAGATGGAGAGCGAAATTCTCTCCTGGAAGTATGCTGGCAATAAACCAGGCCTAAATGACAAAGAAAACACAAAGTAATACCTGTGATTGAGGTTATTGTTGAGAAGAGGGTTTAGACACATCTGTCATAGACAGATTGAACTTAAACAACACTCTATCAGAGCAAAGCACATGCAGATGTTCAATTAAAAACAGGAGCCCACAGTCTTGGCTCTTGTTTGCACTGGCCCACATTGTTTGCAGAGCAACAACGGTTGCTAGTGGCAACACCGTCCACTCCCGTTTCCAGGAGCCTGTTGCTATGCAACCAACAGAATACTTCCCAAACCAAACAATGCCATCCCCCAAGTGATCCTTCTATCTCACATTAACCAGAAACTTAGAACAATAAATACATAAGCTATTACTCTGACCCTCTGGAGCGGAGGCAGGGACTTGGGGGGGGTTGACATGCGGTTATAGAGAAATTTCTACAGAAAGCCGTACTTCAGGACTTACAACTTTCTCTGGTATGAGATGCTGACAGGGACTCTGTTAAAGCCATCAGAAAGACAAAAAAAGTAAAGTAAAGAAAAGAAAAGAGAAGAGAAGAAAAGAAAAGCTGCCACAAGTCATGCTTACACCACGACACTCCAAACACAACAATCACTTTGTAAACGAAGCCTCAAATTACTTTTCCAACTAAATAATCCAGACGTTCCTGACAGATTTGCAGCTTGGAAATAAACTCTGATTGCTTTTACGACACGCCGGAAGCTACGAACAGCCGAGCAATAAACCAGAGACACTTGTTGCCATTAAAGGGCCGTCTATACTGGACATCTGTGTCCAACAAGCTGGGCTGATGTTCCCCAGATATGCACCTTTCAAAACACACAAAATGCTCCTACCACTTATGATAT